AAAATAATTAATATTTCCAGTAATAGTTTCAAATTAAATTTTTAAAAAACAAAATTTATGGTGTTCTTATACTTCGGTAACTGACTGCAGAACCAACCCTATTTTTAGAAGTATAAAATAGAGAGGTTGAGATACATGTATCGGCGCAAAACGTGTACGGCTGAAGGTCCAAGCGCCGCCATCTGGCAATTCTACACGGTCGATAACGGCATTCGCTTCGTGTAGAATGGCGAGTACAAGATCGATTAAACTTCTTCATTTTTTTCTCTTTGGGGTTAAAATTATGACCTATTTTATCAAGATAACGAATATTTAAGCATTTACGAATAGCATTGTGAAGAAACAGACGATTTTAATTCAGAAATTTTTAATTATTCAATTTTTTAGCGAGTGATGTAAAGTCTCGATAACATTTTTATAGCTGTGTTCATAAAATCGCTTATCATAGTTTTCTTTTCAGAAGCAAGACTGAACCAAGATAGAGAAGAAAGAAGAGTGTTTTTAGAAAAATTTGATTTAGAGAGAAAAGAGAAGCGTTATTAGAAATACTTTTGAAAACTTTGAATAAAAAATTTTTATAAAATTGAAAAAATTATTTATTTATTGATTACAATCTAACTATTTGTCCAATTTGGGGGATAAACAATTAAAATAATCTGATGTTGCACTACCGTATAAGCTTGTGTGACAGTTTGTAAGTAGTGCACCAACAATATACAGTTTATCAACAAGCTGAAGATACAATTTCAATTTTTTTTTAAATCTAGAAAAGTAAATATCTGAATTATTTTCCCAAATATCCATTCCACACACTCTCTTACTGAACTCATCCTGGAATTAAATACTTGTTGCTCGGGTGTTAAGCTAGCACCTCAGAATTGTGTAATGAGGTGTTGACACAAAGGATAACCAGAATCTCCATATAAAACAAATTCCGTCCCGTTCTCGGAACAAGGAATCGCAGCCAAATGCTCTAACACTGTTTTTCAACCTTCTTGAATACACGACCGCTTTGCAAGTTAAAAACTTCTGGCAATCCCCTCAGGGCCATATTAAAACTATATCAGTGATTTTAAAAACTACGTATTTAATTTTCTTTCTGTTGAGACTTAAATATCGATCGAAAAACCAATTATACTGTAAAATAAACAGGTATAGCCTTCTCACTAAAATTCTAGTTTTTTTTGTTTTTTTTCATTGTAGTATAGGACCTACAAACACCTGTTTTCTTCTTTTACCCGCGACCCCCGTGTAAGGCTTTGCGACCCCGCTTGGGGTCGCGACCCACAAGTTGAAAAGCACTGCTGTAAACAAATTAGATTCTCTTAACATTCCACTGTCACGACGTCTTCCTTCTATTGGTCCAAAAAAATTAGCAATTATACCATCGGGTGTAACCACTGATTGAAATCTCAAACAATTTATACGTTTATGGCCACTGAATACCACCCTTTGATGTGTTATTGGTCGACAAATAGGATGTGCCGTTCCATCTACGAACCCCCAATACTGTAATTTGTCAAAGGAGCACCTTTTGCTGTTATTACTTGGCTAAATAAGTTTGATTTTTCTCTTGTTAGTTTTATCTCGTCGATATTCAATAACAATTTGGAATGGCTATTGTATATGATATTTACTGTTTCATGCACAAATCGTGAAAGTTCATTTTTTGATCTCCCCAACAAAACAAAAATATCATCAAATCTATTAAGATAAACTAATCTTCGTAATAAAATACATAATGCATCAATTCCAAGTGAACGTGATCCATTTTCACAAATGATTACAAATGGAAGGCGTAAAGCAGAATGCAGATGAAAAATCGCTTCTTAAAAATACGTTAATATTAAAAATTTTATAAGTATTATGAATTAAACCACCAAATGTGAT